TAAAAGATCAGTTGTAGAGACGATAGATTTCTGCATTCTCCAGACTGAAAGAGAAGCCAAATTATATTTTGGTAACATAAGTTTTCCTTTCGTGATGTCATGTTTTATTTTTACCAAAACATTTTATGCCTTGATGAATACAGCCAAAGACTTTACTTCCTTCTACTCCTTAATACGTGGCTATGGTATTACCAGCACTTGGGAAAACATGAAGGGCATTTTCACTTGAATTAGATACCTCTCTGCTTCAAAAAGTTTTCTCTTGGTTTTGTAGCATGGAGACGAGAATGTCTCGCAGGGGTAGGGAACATTTTTTCTGCCCAGGGCCATTTGGATAATTGTAATGCCAATCCTGGGCCATACAAAATTATCAAATCTAAAAATTAACCTGCTATAGATTTATTGGATTTGAGTCCCACCTGTGGGTGCCTTGGCAGGGTCAGACCAAATGGTTTCAGGGGCCTTATGATGCCCGGGCATCAGACGCTGGCCATCCCTGAGTGGGAGAAGATGGTGTAGCCAGAAGATCAAATGGGGACAAAGGCAGGAACATGTGAACTTCACTCCAGAAAGCCGCCAAGCTGGGTGCAAGCCTCTGGGCTTTGTTGAGAGGACACCTGAGAGCTTCCAACCCCACAGCTGTCCTCTTGCTGGAGATAATGCTCTCCCCAGCAAGGGCAAGAGCAGAGTCAACACATTGTCTCCATCCAAAGGCCTGCATTCTGGAAGAGATGTCAAGAGTCCATTTCTTGGATTTCTGGTGTCAACTAAATCATGATTTTATTGTTGTTTGATAAAGAGTCGTGACTGGATATTTTTTACATGTTTCATAAGATCCTTGGGGGCCCACTATTGTCTTTGCTTTCTTACAAGGCCCTTACTGTGCTTTGAATGAATATTATTTAGTGTTAAAAAGTCAAAATTGGTTTTTCTAGCTCCTGGATATTCCCCTTCAATTCAGATTCATGTTCACTTCAAGTCCTTAGAACGTTTTCAAACAGATTTCAATATATAGTGTACATATAACTTTTTTTAAAAGATCTATCCATTCATTTGAAAGTCAGAGTTACACAGAGAGAGAAGGCGAGGCAAAGAGAGAGAGAGAGAGAGAGAGAGAGAGAGAGATCTTCCATCTGCTGGTTCACTCCCCAACTGGCCGGAACGGCCGGAGCTGTGCCGGTCCAAAGCCAGGAACCAGGAGCTTCTTCCAGGTCTCCCACACAGGTTCAGGGGCCAAAGGACTTGGGCCATCTTCTACTGCTTTCCCAGGCCATGGAAGAGAGCTGGATTGGAAGTGGAGCAACTGAGACTCGAACCAGCACTCACATGGGATGCCGGCACTGCACTGGATGCCTTACCCGCTACACCACAGCACCAGCTCCATGTACATAAAACTTTTAAAATGTTCTTAGAAAATACTAAACCTTCAAGCACTAAGTTCTCTAGGTTTAGGATACTTTTTGTAAGTCAGTAAAAAAATTACTAAGGAACAGGCATTTAGCCTAGTGTTTAAGATGCCCATATCCGACATCAGTGCACTTGGGTTCAGTTCCTGGGTTCAGCTCCTGATGTCAGCTTCTCACCAATTCAAACCCTAGGAAGCAACAACTGATGGCTTAATATTGGGTTCCAGTCTCCCTTGTAGGAGATCTGGCATGAATTCCTGGCTTCTGGCTTCAGTCCAAGCCTAGTCCCTGCTGCTATGGGAATTTGGGTAGTGAAGCAGATGAGAACTCTGTTGTCCATTTCAATCTTTCTGCCTCTCAAACAAATAAATAAAATTGTAAAGAAGTATACAAACCTGACTTTGGTAATTGAAGTCATTTAAAATATATATGGTAAATACCACATCTGGGTCTATATCTAAAAGAATTGTATTCTTAAAAATTGTTAATACATTTAAGTTATGTTACTTTTTAACCCCTCCAACACACACATATAAAGTAGTAAATTTTCCAGATTTATTTTAGATGAGTATGCTTACACATACTTCCTCCCCCCACCATGCCCCCATACAAACACACACACAACGTACACACACACACAAGTGCAGAGTGTGGGATGGAAAAATTTCCTCACTCCTCATGCAAACCATCAAACCATACCTTCAGAGGGCATAGTCAGAATAAAAATGTGAACGGAGTCTAAATACAAGATGATAGAGAGATACTACTTACGCATGTGATTTGTTTTCCAAGGGCTGTTTGTGTGTGTGTGTGGGTGTGTGGGTATGTGTGTGTAAGAAGGGAAAGTGTATCAGGGAGGATGGGAGCATAAGAGTAGACCATTGAACAGACAAAGCTAAATTTCAAGCACACTGCTGAGTCTCATGGAAAACACAGATTTCTTTATTTTATTTTTTTTTTATTTTTATTTTTTGACAGGCAGAGCGGACAGTGAGAGAGAGAGACAGAGAGAAAGGTCTTCCTTTGCCGTTGGTTCACCCTCCAATGGCCGCCGTGGCCAGCGCGCTGCGGCCGGCGCACCGTGCTGATCCGATGGCAGGAGCCAGGAGCCAGGTGCTTTTCCTGGTCTCCCGTGGGGTGCAGGGCCCAAGCACCTGGGCCATCCTCCACTGCACTCCCTGGCCACAGCAGAGGGCTGGCCTGGAAGAGGGGCAACCGGGACAGAATCCGGCGCCCCAACCGGGACTAGAACCCGGTGTGCCGGCGCCGCTAGGCGGAGGATTAGCCTAGTGAGCCGCGGCGCCAGCCGAAAACACAGATTTCTTTTAAAAAGGAAGTTACAAGTCTGAAGGGAGCTGGGAAGAGGAAACATGGGGTGACACAGCAAGGCCTGCCATGGGATTCCCAGAGGAAGTGATACCAGGGCTGCAGTGAGCCAGAGAAGAAGGGCTTAGAGCGCTCCAGGCAATGAAAGCAGCACGTTCTATGGCCCTGGAAGCCTGATGCATCTGCCAGTTTCCCAGAAGACCAGACCAGAGAAAGCAGAGAAACTACTCTGGAGGTGACTCTAGAGAGAGGGGGCACAGGAAGGGCTCCATCAGTCCTGTGAGGAGGCTGGACTTTACCTCAATGGAAATCTACCAAGAAATAACCAGGGCAGAGACACCATCAGCTCCGTGTTGTGAAGCATCAAACTGTAGCCATAGTGAAAAGGAGATTGAAGGAGGACAAGCCTGGAGGTGGTTACCATGGAGCTTGAGATGGGAAGGAAGACAACAGAAGAGGCCTGGGTTGTGACCCAGGCTGAATGGACTGCACTTGGTGATGGAGAAAAGGTGGGGAAGAAGGGAAAGAGGAAGAAGTCAGTGATGCTACCCAGTTTCCTGACTGAGCCAGTGAGTGAGTGGCGGTGTCCTTGAGTGGGATGAGTTTCTGTAGAGGCAGAGTTTGTGCTGATGCATGGATGTGTCATGAACTTGGAGAGGTTAGGGTGCCTGCCAGTCACATTCTTTCCTTCTCTCATTCCAGGCATCCCAAACAGTCAATATGTTCTATTTCTCCATGGCAAACATAGGAACTTAAGGCTGGAAAGAGTCTTAGAAATCAAGTCATCCTTCCCCCTCATTCTATGCATGAGGAAGCTAAGACTCAAGGAGTTAAGGGCATTTCTCTGAAAATTCCCAATGGACTCTAACCCCATATGCCTCTCCCAACCCCTTAGCCAGTGCTCAGGGCTCTTCCCAGTCGGAGCCTCCTGCTCTGAAGCTGTTCTTTCTTGCTGTTCAGTTTCCCAGAAAATCATCTTAACCCCACTCCCTGAATGAGAAACCCTGCCTCTCCACATACTCATTCAAACACGAGGAATCTTTCCCTCTTACCAATAGAGGTCCCTAAATGCAAAGGCCATATATTTCTTAAAGTAAAAATAATCAGAAGAAGTTACAAAGTTTAAAAAGTAGTTTATCTCTGGTCAAGTTGTTCATAGGAATCTCCTGTTAGATTATTTCAGTTTTCATTATGAATATTAAAAGAAAAATGCAAAACATTGAACCCATTTTTATTCCCACAATATGCTTTATTTTTCTTTAATCTTTATCTACTTATTTTATTTGAAGGTCAGAGAGGCACAGTTGTCTCATCCATTGACTCACTTTCCAAATGTTCATACAGCTGGGGCAGGGCAGGGACAGGCCAAAACCAGGAGTCTGAAATTCAGTCCCAGTCTTCCATGTGGGTGGCAGGGACCCAAGTACTTGAGGTGTTACTTTTTGCCTCCTATGGTACTCATTAGCAGGAAACTGGAATTGGGAGCAGATTGGGAGCAGAGCTGGGAATTAAACCCAGGCACTCTAATATGGGATTTGGTTGTCACAAATGTGGTGTTTTTTTTTTTTTTTTTTTTTTTTTTTTTTTGACAGGCAGAGTTAGCGAGAGAGAGAGACAGAGAGAAAGGTCTTCCTTCCTTTGGTTCACCACCCAAATGGCCGCTCCAGCCGGCACACTGTGCCGATCTGAAGCCAGGAGCCAGTTGCTTCCTCCTGGTCTCCCATGCGGGTGCAGGCCCAAGCACTTGGGCCATCCTCCACTGCCTTCCCGGGTCACAGCAGAGAGCTGGACTGGAAGAGGAGCAACCGGGACAGAATCCGGCGCCCCAACCGGGACTAGAACCTGGTGTGCCAGCGCTGCAGGTGGAGGATTAGCCTAGTGAGCCACGGCACCAGCCACAAATGGTCTATTAACCGCTACACCTAACACCTCCCCCTCAATATGAATTCTTAAATATCCATCACTGTGCATAAGTTCTCACACAATTTTAATTTCCTATAAAATCTCATTCTTATCATATGGTTTTCTATACAATCATCAGATGGTTTCTTGTAACACATCTTTCAATCAATGTTGGTAGGATTTGCAACAGCTTTTCTAACTGGATGAAGAAATAAAACCTACGGGTTTTGTTCATTGAGATTTAATTTTTAGAATATATTAGAGTGAAATTGTAGCTGTCAGAAACAATGGAATAGTTAAAAGGGTAATTAAACCTAACATAAGGTAACTTAACCCAAGTTTATAAAGAAGAAAAAAAGTGCTTACCTGAGGCGGGGGTCCTTGAAGGTATCCAGATACACAGGGTAGCTCCACTCGATTTTATTCCCTTTACATCGGAGCTCCACAGTTTGCCCTGCCATCAGACTCAAGGTGGCAGCTGGTTTCTGGAAGCGACCTTTATCCATCACTTGCATCATGATAGACTGCGTCTTCAGTGTTGAATCAGCTGAGTCCCTGTCCTTTATTTTAGGAATTTTGGGCTTCACCTTTTTGTTGCTAGGTTTGATCCTATTCTCTCCCGGCTCCTTTGGACGCTTGTTCTTGGGAAGGTGTTGGCCAGCAACTGTACAAATGTGAGGAGAAAGCAGTGGGCTAAAACGGTGGCATTCCTGGAGTAGGTGATACCCACAGAAGACAGTAACTTCTCTCTTCATATTCTATTTTCAGTCATAATCATTTAATAATCATTAGTGCCACATTTTATTACATAAAACTTTAGTTTTTGTCTAGGAGGATGATAGAGAGGTCCCATCTGCTGATTTACTCTCCAAATGCCTACAACAGCAAGGGCTAGGCTGGGGCCAGAGCCGGGAGCCAGGAACTCAAGCCTGTGGGTGGCAGACACCCTCAATACTTGAGCCAGCACTGCTGCCTCCCAGAGTCTACATTTGCAGGAAACTGGAGTCAGGAGCCAGAGCAAGGTATCGAATCCAGGTTCTCCGTGTGGGATACTGGCATATTAACTGCTAGATTAAAGGACTGTACTACACTCTTTAGTTTCAAAATGGTTAATAATTAAAAGGAACATATTTCAGTTTCAGATATATTGCTTGAATTTAACAAACTATTTCATATTTGAAGAAAAATTTGTAGTTACAAAAATATTATTCTTTGCAGTTCATACACTGTCTCACAGTCTCCAAGTAAACACACCTAAGAGCAGAACTGAAGCCATTCGAGGTCTGCTTCTTGTCTTTACAATTTCTCTGCTATGATTGTTCATGTGAAATCTACTGGTAAGATGCAGGAATGAGTAGTCTCACAGAAACTGAAGACCCAAAATGCCCCGTAAGCACACATGGTTTCCACCCATCATGAACTCTGTCGCAATGAATGTGGCCAGTGCGCTCTACCTGACAACATCTAGATCACAATGTTTATTAGACTAGGTAATAGACATATGCAAATCTAAAGTTTATATAGATGAGGGTACTACAAAAAGTTCATGGAATGTTAAAAGATAACATTCCAAAATTTTTTGACATCCACGCATCAAGGTGTCTTCAAAAAGGTTATGGAAAATGCATATTATGAAACAAAATTAGAGGCCTGCACTATGGTGCACTATGGTTAAGCTGTTGCCTGCAATGCTGGCATCCCATGTGGTCACCGGTTTGGATTCCAGCTGCTGCACTTTTGATAGTTTCTGGTAATGTGCCTGGGAAAGCAACAGAGGATGGCCCAAGTGCTTGGGCTTCTGACATCCACATGGGAGACCCTGATGGAGTTCCAGACTCCTGGCTTTGGCCTAGCCCAGCCTTTGTTGTCGTGTCCATTTAGGCAGTGAACCAGAGGCTAGAAGATCCCTCTCCATCTCTGTTGCTGTGTCTCCCTGTCTCTGTCTCCCCTTCTCTCTAACTCTGCTTTTCATCTAAATAAATAAATTAAACTATGCATGGATTTCCAGAATATTACTTAAAATAAACTTACCTTTAAATTGGACTTTCCATCAGTTTTATGAAGTATTTTTGTAAGTTATTAACACTCAACAGTAACTGTAGCAACAGTTTGGAACTTAGCAAACAAAATAGTTTTAGAGGAGTACATTTTTGCCAACATTGTTGAGAGCTGGTGTCAAACAGTGATAATAAAAGGTTGACCTACTTTAACGTGGTTTTATTATTGTTCTTCCTCTACAGACAATGCATCCGCTCGCTGCCTGTACCAGGGAAGATCATGCCCATTCTCCTGCTCTTGGTCAAAAACCTCATTATCCACCAAGTCTCCCTCAGATGTGCAGCTGTATCCACCAAGCAAGGGTGACAAGGGGACTTCACAGCCTCAGTTTAAGCATCCATCTGCACGATCACAAAGGCTGCCCCAATACATGCACATACAACTGCACAACTGTCCAAGCTGATAGGATCCTTAGAGGTCATTTAGATAAAGTCCCCATGATGTAGATTTGAAAAACAAAGGAGGACCTGGAAACTTAGGTAGATTGCACAAAGCCACTTAGCTGATGAATGGCAGGATGTCCTGATGCTTGTTCCAAAATGTGTGCTTAACTATACATAAATGAACATTCTGTAGGTATTTTAAATAAATAACCATACAAACCTTGGTCAGTTGAATGAATTGCACAGCATTTGTATAAAATAGGGAATGTGATAAGAGAAAACCATCATCAAAAATGCAACTGATTTGGACTCCTCTGTGTAATGACAACTTAGCTTCTTCTGCATGTTGGGCTTTGACCATTGAAATAGGAGCCATTTAATCAGGCCTAGACTCTAGAACTAATCCCACTCTTAGGAATTCTCAGCTCCAAGTCCACAGTCAGTCTCAGCATGCTCCTTCTCTGGACTTGGATCCACTGCTCCTTGAGTCTCTCTCTCTTTTCTGGACCCTAGGTCTCATTGTGACCACTCTTGCCTTTCTTAGGCTGGAAACTCTTCTTATGCCCCCTCTTTCCTCTGCTCAGCTTCCTCTAGGTCTTGGGCTGAGCCTCCTCAATTCTTCCAGGGAATGGAATTGTGTGCTTAAACCCTGGTCTCCAAGGCTGAGTCTCCAATACCTTCTGTTGAACCTGCTCTTGCCCAGACTTCCACCAACCCTACATGTTTGGCTTATTCACCTTGACTCTACTGACAGATGGTGAATGGTGAGACAGGGAGACAGTGACTCGCATGTGCACATTCCCCACCCTCCCAGGAGGAAGGGACTCAAAACTGCAGGGAACACGCCAGACCAAAGTGCACTAATTATGCAACGTCAATGGCGAAGCATCAGCCTCAGCTTCATAATGGGTTAAACGTCACATGTTTTTGCTCAAGACAGTCCAAGTAATCTGCACCCATAAATATTTTAGTCACATTATGAAATGATATTAATGGACTTATGGACTGATGTCTAATTTGGCATGTGCTCTTAATCATATAAACAGAAATTCAGCCTGTCAGAAATGACAGCTGCCATCTATAAATCCTATGGCATTCAGGAAACCAGTGCCATTTTGTCTGACATTTGAGCTATGAGATCCTGTGTGGCTTTGGTACTCAAGAACACCATGCCATCTGATTGTAGATATTATATATCCAAATATTTGCAATTATCCCTGCAAAATAACTCAACCTTTTGATCAAATGATCTAACTATACAGTTGGTTCAAGCACTTGACATGGACAGAGCTCGTCCATGATTTGAGGCTAATGATGTGAAGTTGAAGAAACCAGCCTTGTGACTCCACAGACGTCCAGGCAGTCCTGGGAGGGTATCAATCCCAAGTCCCACGTCTGACTTTTGAAAAGGATAGAATATGGTTCTTCAGTGTATGTAAATTAATTATTTTCCAAAGGCTTGAAAAACATATGAATTCTGATTATAAATAAATACAAGTGAAATTCTTCTATGTCTTTGAAATTATTGCACAATATATTTTATAGGGAAACTCACAAACCATGAGATGCCATTATTGATTTCAGGCCCTGGCCTGCCACTCACTGTGTGACCTTGGGAAGTAATTTCCCTTCTCTGTTCCAGCTCTTATCTGTAGATCGAGAATGATGTGGTCAGAATAACTATCTCATGGATTGGGGTGGGAATTAAATGAGTTAATATGTTTAAAATGAAGAGAATAGTGTCTGGCCTCATCGTAAGTGGTAGTAAAATGCGACTTCTCATTGCCTGGTCGGTTTATGTGACCTTCCTGAGGGACAGTGATTATTTTTCTTTCTAATCTATAGATGCCAAGCAGCTCACCCCAGGTCAACAAGAAGATAATGAAAAGCTAGACCCTCTGACTCCAGGGCTTTCTCTGGCTCACACCACTGCCTCTCTTCCATGCAGAGTGTTGCAACTTCCTTTATTTACACAAATCTCATGCACAGCACCATGGTCTAAGTGGATTCTTTGTTGTGCCCGGCCTCAGGGAGTTCCAAGTCAAACAGAACTTGATGCTGGGGATGAGAGCACAGCCTTCCTGCAAGGGCTGGAGATGCTTTTCCAAGGCAGACGGTAGAATCCCCAAGTGAGGAGATCGGACACTGGTCCAAATATCCCAGTGAAAGAACCAGTGTTGAAAACCACAGGGCCCGGAGCTGTGGTATAGCAGGTAAAGCCACTGCCTGCAATGCCGACATCCCATATGGGTGCCGGTTCTAGACCCGGCTGCTCAATTCCCAATCCAGCTCTCTGCTATGGCCTGGGAAAGCAGTAGAAAATGGTCCAAGTCCTTGGGTCCCTGCACCCACATGGGAGACCCAAAGGAAGCTCCTGGCTTCAGATTGGCACAGCTCTGGCTGTTGCAGCCAATTGGGGAGTGAACCAGCAGATGGAAGACCTCTCTCTGTCTCTCTTTCTCTCTCTGTGTAATTCTGACTTTCAAATAAATAAATAAATAAATATATATATATATATATATTTGACACACAGAGTTAGACAGTGAGAAAGACAGAGAGAAAGGTCTTCCTTCCATTGGTACACTCCCCAAATGGCAGCATCCAAATAACCACACTAGAAGTTTAAGTTTCCTGCAGAGCTCCAGCTTTGCCCGGTAAGCTACGTTCAGCTGCCACATCCACTCTCATTCTCCATTCTTCACAAGTACTCCCCGCTCCTGCCCTTCCCTGTCACAGGAACACATACACGGGAACTTCAAACAGTTCACAGAAATGTGTATTAAGAAAAACTGCATGGGTTGCACAAGTTTTGTACCACAGGAACTTCTAATTCCATTTTCCATGAACTTTTTGAAGTGCCCACTTTTCCAGGAACACCTGTGAAGGTGTGAAAGTGATACAGGGGAGAGGACATGTGCAGGGATCAGATCCTGTGCTTCCTCACTCTCCTGGGGAGGCCAATCCAGGGGTCACAGGTGCAGCAGCAGACTAAATGACTGCCTGCGATGCTGGTACCCCGTATGAGTGCCGGTTCAAGTCCTGGCTGCCCCACTTCCCATCCAGCTCCCTACCAATGCACCTGGGAAGGCAGGGGAAGATGGCCCAAGTGCATGAGCCCCTGCCATCCATGGATGGAGTTCCTGGCTCCCAGCCTGGGCCTGGCCCAGGTCACTGAGGCTATCTGGTGAGTGAAACAGCAGATGGAAGATTCTCTCTCTGTGTG